CTTTCTAACTATGCAACAAGAGCTGTTACAAATTCATCCAAGCTAGTTGTTACTGTTCCCATGTGAACCAAACGAGTACTACAAGTAAAGTTAACGATTATCTGTTCAGAACACAATGTTACACAATATGTAATTTAATGGATGAAAACCTTGGCTTTCTGTTAGTTATAGGTAATATATAATTAAATGTAAGAGAGAACTATTAATAAATCCTGAAAGAGAGGATGTGACAGGAGGGGTCTGATTTTTTATTTGATAGCTCTGTAACCAAAAAAAATTGAAGTCTACAAAAATTATGGTTTATCTGAACAATGACGATTTTATAGTGAATAATTTACATTTAATTTCGTAGTTACTGGAGGGGTGTTGGATAAAATAGAGAAGAGAAGATACCTAGAGAAAATATGTCACATGTGTCACACTAGGGGAAATTCAGGATTTTTTTAAGTATTGCCTTATAGAATTAAGAACTTAAAACTTATATAGTATTAAAATATGGATTATTAACTACAATTTTATGCTACAGTAATTGGTATAACATAAACAAATTTTTGAATGTAAGACACTAAAACCTTGTGTCATGCGCAGTAAAGGGTACCTGTGGCAATAGGGTTAAACATAATTGTTTCTAAGTATCGTTTTTATCATGAGTAATGGTCCAAAGGAAAACCATACATGTCATCCTTGTTTCTAATGTTTAGTATGAAACATACTCTGAAGATGTTTCTCATAACAAACACCTGTATAGAAAGGTTGCACACTCTAATGTTGTTTTCATACAGAACACCTAGACAATAGGGTTACACACACTGATAATATTTCTAATAAAGAACACCTGGACAATAGGCTTACACACACTGATAATATTTCTAATAAAGAACACCTGGACAATAGGGTTACACATTCTGATGATGTTTCTCATAAGGCACATCTGGACAATAGGGTTACACACTTGAATAATATTTCTCATAAGGAACATCTGGACACTAGGATTACACATTCTCATGATGCTTCAAATAAAGAACACCTGGACAATAGGGTTACACACACACACACTGATAATATTATCTCATAAGGAACACTTGGAAAATAGGGTTGCACACACTGATAATATTTCTCATAACGAGCATCTGGACGATAAGCTTTCTTGACTTATTTAGGTCTAAAATACACATGCAGTTTGTTCAAAACCACATGCTTATCACTTGGTGAACAGGTATTCAAACATTTCTGTATATTCAGCCAAGTTTGCCTTCGTTACAACTTTACACATTGATGATGTTTCAAATAAGGAACATCTAGACAATAGGGTTACTTACATTAGCAGTACTTTTCATGCCCTTCACTTGAAGTTTTCTTATTCTGTTGTTTTCATGCATGCCATTTAAGCTACGCTTTTTTGCAAGCATTATGTATTAGATTGATAAATTCTGTTCTACTTGAAACAAATTTATGCAGTCAGACAAACCCAGGTAGACATAACTTTATTAATAAAACCACATAAAGTAAGCAATAAAGTATAGTAACAGTATATATAATAGTGTACAGAGTATGAAACAGTTATGACTATTTAGTGTATGACATGGTTTTATAAGTTTAAACATAGAAGTTCACAAAAATGAAGAATAAAGCCTGTAGTGAAAAAATAAGTAGCTAAAGGTATTTATAGCAGTCTATGAAATGAAACAAACATAAATTATTGCAAATCAACATAAATATAAAGTTGTAACGAAGGCAAACTTGGCTGAATATACAGAAATGTCTGAATGCCTGTTCACATAGTGATAAGTACATATGCACTGTATGTTCATAACTATATATTTTAGACCTAGATAAGTCAAGAAAGCCCACAGAAATTGTATTTAGTGTAATATTAATATTTTTAGGAAATTATACACGGGTTAAATGTTGTTTATGTGAAACATTTTGCAAATAAAATATTTCATATAAACAACAAATAATAAGTTGAAACTGAAACCAGTCGTCACTGATGATGACAACATTGTGCCATTGTGTACCATTCTCATTGCATTGAAAATTTTGGCTAAGCAAAAACAGGTAAGGTGATTCTGGATTGAAAAGCCTATATGTAATCTGGACTCTTCAGACAAAGGTCCTTCTAACTATATGAGATTTGTAGTATTTGATTGAGAAGTTTACAAGAAAAGTTCTGGACATACAAATGCTAGCGTATAACTTATATAGATATAATCATTAATTGGAAATTTCTATATGCAAATTTTCACTCTTGTTAAACTATACCTTAGCAAATGTCTTACAAACAGCAAACAGTTTCTTTCCACATGCTCGAAAGGATGGATGAGTCATAGGGATACCATTAGCTTCCAAAGCACAGGCAACTGCTTCACGAAGTTTCTACAAGAAAAGATAAATAATACTGTCATTTAAAAAGATTTCAGTTAAAAAAAAACAAATACAGAAGAAACAACTTAAGCAACCAATAGAAACTTTCCTGCCAAATTTTAATAAACAGTAAAAGAGGGACTGATCTATAAGTTCAGGGTTAAAAAACATTTTAGACTGCAAAAAATCTATTACTCTAATTAACATAGTCATTAATGGTAGCTACATAAAGATTGTGTGAAAAAATATTACACTAAACAACTTTCATAATGAAATAACTGTAGTTTCACTGTTCATTATTAAAAACTTCTGAACAAAAATAAGGTAACTAGATGAGAGCACAAAAGGAAGTATACATTAATGATATTGATCTTATATAATAAAACAGCATGAGGTATTTCATTCTTAAAGTACCTGAATTTTCAAATATTTCTGTTCTAAGAAGCAATCTTATTAAAATACATGAAAACAATGAGAAGAAAAATGTTTCCTGCAAAGTTTCCTGTTTTTCAGAAATTCACATAATGGAGAAATGTAAAGAATCATTGCTTAAGAAATAAAGGAACATCAAGATGTCATATCACCATAAATCCACCTCAGCTGTAATACTTGGGTTCAACAACAAGTCCTAAACAATGTACTACATTACATAATAAAGCTAAAATTCACCAGCATACCTTTCAACACAGCCAAAACACCAACTTTAAAAAATCTGTACCACCACTACTAACATACAGAGAACATCACAAGTTAGAATTCCCAAAACACACTTCTATCATATACAAGTAACACAACTATACTGGTGAAAAAGTTATCCAAAAAGGACCATGTTACAAACCTCATACCAACTGTTTACCAAACATTGCTGTACAAACGGACCATGTTACAAACCTCATACCAACTGTTTACCAAACATAGCTGTTCAAAAGGACCATGTTACAAACCTCATACCACCTGTTTACCAAACATAGCTGTTCAAAAGGATCATGTTACAAAACTCATACCACCTGTTTACCAAACATAGCTGTTCAAAAGGACCACGTTACAAACCTCGTACCACCAGTTTACCAAATATAGCTGTTCAAAAGGACCATGTTACAAGCCTCGTAACACCTGTTTACCAAACATAGCTGTTCAAAAGGACCATGTTACAAACCTCGTAACACCTGTTTACCAAACATAGCTGTACAAAGGGACCATGTTACAAACCTCGTACCAACTGTTTACCAAACATAGCTGTTCAAAAGGACCATGTTACAAGCCTCGTACCACCTGTTTACCAAACATAGCTGTTCAAAAGGCCATGTTACATACCTCATACCAACTGTTTACCAAACATAGCTGTTCAAAGGGACCATGTTACATTCCTCATACCAACTGTTTACCAAACATATCTGTTCAAAAAGACCATGTTACAAACCTCGTACCAACTGTTTACCAAACATAGCTGTTCAAAAGGACCATGTTACAAACCTCGTACCAACTGTTTACCAAACATAGCTGTTCAAAAGGACCATGTTACAAACCTCGTACCAACTGTTTACCAAACATAGCTGTTCAAAAGGACCATGTTACAAACCTCGTACCAACTGTTTACCAAACATAGCTGTTCAAA